TGTACTCAGATGTACCTACCCCGCAACAAGAATGCAAATCCAGTTCACTGGCACTCCGACGGTAGAACTGAACTCAAAGGATAAGAGGCCTGTCCATACCACTTCAATGTGTATTTATTCCTTTTCCTGCTCCTGTGGAGCAGAATACATTGGTCATACGACAAGGCGTCTATCTGAGCGAGTGAAGGAACACCACTCGGCCTGGTTTGAAACTGGAAGTAGAAAACCAGTCGGCTCCTCAATAGCCGCGCACCTCGCTGCCCATGAGCATGCCACCAAATCAGCTGACTCTTTCAAAATTATCTATCAATCCCCTGCGAACCGATCGAACCACTGCGTAAAAGAATACTAGAAGCTGCTGGGACTATTACGATTCGACTGTATGACCCGGAGCTGTGTATCCTGAAGCTAACTAGAGGGTCGGGACTACCCTGGCCCAAACGCTTGACGACCTCTGACCCGCGACGTCAGTCGTCGTAACCTAACGGACAGCCACTGTCAGTGGCTGGACTAACGACTAGTAATGTCTGCCTACCCATTTCGTTTTTATTTGTATATAACGGTAGAAGTGTGATGGGGAATTATCGAAAACATACGTTCGCTTACACTGACTTCTGACTTTGCAAGTAGCTTTCCTCTAGTTCTCACTGGATTTAAGTTCTACAGATGACTTGACGCCCAGGTCTACCAGTTGGGAAACATGCTGTAGTTCATTCCTGCCAAGCAGGTAACGCTTTTGTGGGCCATTTGACCCTAATCGTAAAATGGAACACTGCATAATTTATGGGCAAATGGCACACAGTAGCCCAGTCCCAAAGTCTATCGAGGGCTTGTTGCAGATTCTGGGGTTAATCGATGTCGGACACATTGTGTGCCAAAACTTTAGGTCATCTGCAAACATGAGAGATGGTACCTGTTGTATACGAAAGTTCAAATGCCCGAGTAATAGTACAAAGGTCACTCTCCTAAACAAACTGCTGTAATCTGATCAACGTCTAACTGGGTAAGCACATTAAGGTGTCGCAAGGAGAAGGATGAACCAGTAGATAAGCAGAGAAGTAGACGCTTTGCGTGTGTGTGTGTGTGTGTTTCTGGGATGGGCTGTCAGATCACAGTAGTGTGTAGCATGGAAAGTATAATTCACTATCCATGATGTCCGAAGACAACCATGTTTCAGTGAACGCGAGCACATCGGGATGGGAGTTGTCCATCAGGCTCCCAACTTCACACATGTTGTTTCGCAGGCTACACACATTACAGAACTATATGAAAGCATCTGGTATGAAGAGCCTCGGGTCGGGTGCTACCAGAACGAGCTCTGGTAGCGTGGGAGTGGACCGCCGGCTCACCACCTGAAAACCCACCAAACACAAACCTTTCTCGCCAGCTTCTCGACACGCTTTAAGGTTTTTAATGGCTTCCTTAAGCTTTATCCTATCCGCTTAAGGTAGGTCCGACTGTATGCTCACTCCGGAACCCTACAGTTTAAAGGTGAAGCGCAAAAGAGCTTGACGTTCCTCCGGTGCAGACAGGAAAACGCGCAGTAGACGGGGCTTACTTTTAATACTGTCACCGAATATGTTCCCAAGCCTAGTAAGTTTTATAATCGTGACCCCAGGAAACCCGGGTGTAAGTAGTTTAGAAACGCAAAGTTTGAACCAGTGAAGATCGTCAAGCACGCGATCTTTCGGAAGAGACGCAGAGGACTCCGCGATATTCCTAAAAATAACCCCGCTGTCCGTAAATGCATCACTACGACGGGAGGTGTTTACAGCACGCGCCACTGTAGCAGTGGCCGGCGCAGCGCGCGATTTCACATCGCCCTTAGTAGGAACAGCAGGTGCACATGCTGATTCCGGCAATGAGGTGGAAGAATTTTCTGCCTCCGTTACCGGGGACGGAGTATCCACAGAGCCCACCGCTACATCTTTTAGCTTGGGTTTGGTTGTACTGACCGATTTCTTTATCTTACGCCGCTTTACCTTCACAGATACACTAGGCTGTAAAGCTTCCCACTCACAACTGACTTCAATATAACGTGCTGGAAGCGCACTTTTTTGGATTATTTGGAGCTACTACCCATCTTGCAACCAAACACCGTACTCTCAGAAAGCCACAAAATAAAATTATTGAGACAATTTCTTTGGGATGAAGTTCAAAGACATTTTGATGCCCTCCATGTCGGTGCTGCGTGCGAAAAATCTCACGTAGTTATACGTGGTGATACGTTTGTCATTAAATTACTCGGCTCGGAGAACGAATCAAAAGGGTTAACTATCAACCCTAGCTACAGGTATTCCGAATCATCAATGACGCTTTCTTCAGGGTTTTGACGCAAGGTTGAGAAAGCATACGGCACAGTGTATGCATTCAGTTGTGAACCCCATAACCTGCTGAGGACTTCTAGTGCGCTGCTGACTGCCTCCTCACCGCCATGAAGGATATCAAAATGTCTTTGGACTTCATCCCACAGAAGTTGTCTCAATAATTTTATTTTGTGGCTTTCTGAGTGCACTGTGTTTGGTTGCAAGACGGGTAGTAGCGCCAAATAATCCAAAAAAGTGCGCTTCCAGAGGTTTCAGATAGCCGGTGTTGGTTTCTCAGAAGGAATATTCCAAAGTAGTGTAGGATGGTGCAACATTGCGGTAGTTTAATCTCGTCGTCAAGATATTAACTATGGCCCTTAGCCGATGAACGGAACAGAAAGCGCACGCTTAATATGAAACCGATTTACTAGCAGCACCCTGCGTTATAGTGGCTAGAAAGCCGGTAAGGAAAACCAATGAAATAAGGAAAGTAAGGTAAGATCATTCTCAACCAATGCTGTGAGGGCCTGTGTTTACGAATCTATACGCAAGTGCATACGTGACAAATACCATCACATTTTCCATAATCTGAATGCGAAGCATGTGTATCCTTGGATTGGATAGCCCATTCAACATACCCACTTGGCAAACCGTTGCTTCTCAGTAAACCACAACATGCGAATAAGCTCTTTGAAGGAATATTGTAACCAGTATTTCATTTCACGGGAATCACTGTCTTAAGATGATGTGTCCTCAACATCAGAGTCATCAAATCAATTTCCCTAAAGCAAGGGCGGTTTGATGGGCTTAAACTGAGCACTTAATGATATTTCACAGCTACTTGTAACGGCTCAGTTTATGCCCCAGGGACACCTTTCTATCAGATCATGAAGGTACTTTGCTTGCTTAGTGTTTCTTCTTCCTTTACCATCGTTTGGGTCAGTAGGCTTGGAGACCAGCAGTTGGAAGTGCCTCCCAAAGAATGTAACTCGGGGTAACGGAGCGGGATGACAATGTCTGATAGAAGCAGGCTAAAAAGACAACGAAAAGAGCCAGACAGCACTTTGGACTCATCTGCAGAGTGTGCACCATCTATCTTTATGCTAATTCTGAATGTCTATGTGTGGTACCACATAGAGTATGTGATCCAAGCCTACCGCCCCTGACGATATTGGTGCGTTTGAAGCCCTGCAGCGTAGAGCATCCAAGTTCCTTATGGGGTTGTTTTACCTCCCCTACCAATGCAGATTGCAAGCCCCAGGCTATGAAACTGGACATGAATATGGATGTCAACAAGGGGACCTCATCATGGTTTACCTAATACCACAAACGCACATCACCGCTGTCACGACCTATGGCAACTTTGTCAAAATGCTAACCTGAGAGGCCACCAGCTCTAACTAGCCTCACACTAAATTCGAGTTGGTTGCCGACAACCTTTTCTCCTCTAGGGGTGCCCCGAACATTAAAGGCCTTCCAACTCGCACGTCATTTGAACCCCAACATTAAGATTCTTCAACAACGGCCTTAACGACATGTTATGCTGTTTGCTTTACGTGATGTAGTCCATTTCACTCAGAGAAGGAAATAGCGCGAACCAAACTATCTGATCCACAGCCCTCTCCGTAAAATAGCGATGAGGAATCCAGCACCAAGCTTAAGAAGTCAATGAAAACCAGAATTGCTCCACTTTTCTTCTTCCTCTTTTAGCTTCGGTTCTGTAATTCTCACTCCCGTCATCTTGCGGGACTTGCCAGCCAATCACTTTTTACCCATTATAAATGATTGTTCATCATTCTTGTTTATGTCAGCTTTTGGTCAGCCCACACCTCAGCGAACCAATCGTGATGCAACTTGCTGACTCGCCCGTCTATTATCAAAGCCTTGTTTCGTAGATGAAAGCGTAAATGGCGCTTAGTGTTCGGGAACTTGTTGTTCCACATATGGTGATCATGCCGGATTCATTATTTTCCGCAAGTGGTAGTTCCAGAACTTTAGTTAACCAACCTCACATATTTTAAGCATTTGTAAAATACGGGATTCGAACTTTTCCGAAAAGTACTTCCTGTACTCAGCAACGACACTTTGTATTGATCTGTCCTTAGGAATCCGTTCAGTAATTGACTATGACCACTTCAACTGGTGTCATGATGGCGGAAAGCAATTTGTTTAACAGTCACACGAGTAAACACATCCACAGGTACTTACATGTTAGACATTGTATGTGACGTGCTGACATATAGGTCCTCCAGACATTAAACCTTTTTGAATTTGTGTGCACAACGGAAGTCCGTTATCTCATTCAAGGTCTACTAACCGGTGCTGTCTCCTGAGCTTTTCTAGGTTGAATGATGGTATAATTCGCACTCATCTACATCAAACTGCATTTATAAAACCAACGCACACAAATCCATGTTCACAGGGAAAGCTGGTGGTTTTCGGAAGCTGCAACGTTTATGCTGTCATGGCAATTGCACAGGCTTGTAAAACCATTAAAAGTATGGTCTCCACGCATCCATTTAAAGTTCACCACTAGAGTGAGTCCATGGTACAATGCCCAACACCATAGTAGAAGTCACTTCCCTAAGACTTTAAAGCGGATTTCGTAAATCTACTCCTGATAACTGCCGTCATCCTTAAAAGTAACCTCAATTTCTATGCTAATAGTGCTTTCTTCTTCATGGTTCCTTGTAGAAGGATTACGAGGAATTGAAGCGGGTTTACGAAAACCACTTCAACACTTCCATCTACCCCCTGGCTTGCCTAAGTGATCGAATACCCACGGGATTTATCAGCTCGCAGCTATTTCAAGTGAGTCCCACTTATAATTCACTCTGGGCGTACAATCGCTTTTCGCCTCACTATGGGACTTTAGCTGCTGCAAACGTTGCGTTTCCATTGTGACGTACATTGGTTCAGTGTCATGGATTCGACACAAGTAACTTCCATGCTCATTGTTCACTTTACGTTCTCCCTGTCCTTACTTATATCCACGCATTGGGTTTGGACCTGAAAACAAGTGACGCAAGGACATAAACACTTGGGCATTTTTATCCCACTAACTTACTACCACAAGTGCGAATTTTAGTAAACTGATGTAGTAGAGTTCTACGATGAGATAACGATGGGCAAACACAAGAGAGCTTCATTTGGGTCCCACTCCCAAACGTAGCGCACGCGTAAGTTAATTCGTCTAGAAGTGGCAAAGCTGAAATGACCTCAGCCATAGGGCAGTTGTCTAGGGCCAGTGGTGTCAACTGGAAGCCACAGCCCTTTTCTGAGGCTTATCGTCCGGTTGGAAATCTTTTCCGCAGTACAACGAATACCACAGTCTAATAACTTTATTTGGTATTGCTGCCAAAACTAGAATGCACTGCCTGTACTAGTACCGGTGATTCTAATAAATGTGATACGTCGTGCTTCAAGTCATTTGATCTGGCAAATTTAGTAACTTTTCCGACCAGACAAGATGCACAGCTTGATGTTGTACACACAAACAAAATTGGTTTATTTTCCATTCAAAAGCATGCACCACTGAGTAACTCGGACCATTGCATTGTAAAGATTTATCCCAGCATCTACAGTAAAACTAACTATGCTGCATTGACAAAGGTCAGTACAGGACTATCCGACGACGCAACTTCTAGGTGGAAAATACCGCACGACTTCAGGCAATGCTTTTTTCAACGGATTTTTCCGTTTTTACAGATGAAGATCTATTGCTTCAATTTGATCATCTTATGAGTTACGTAAACTTCTGCTTCTACCTATGTTATCCTATCTAGACCATCAATCTGCGAGCAGACAGATTTTCTCCACCTCTGCCGAAACAATTTCGAAAGAAATATGAACATGTTTGCAAGCTCAAAATGATCACCCGAGTCAAAAGCCTGAATTTAGCAAGTAAAGCTGAAATAACGAGGCTAAACAGTTTGTATATTGAAACGATACTGGGAAACCGTAGCTGCTGGGATTTCTGAAAGCTGTTGAAGAAAAGCTGTGTTAAAAGTACCATCAGTTGTACTGGAATATTGGATGTTAATGTTGTAAACGTCCTAGTTGGATTTCTACTGTCCTAATCGGAACGGCCAAACTATCTCACTTGCTGGTTCCCACGCGCAGAGTAGACCAGACGATTCGTTTTGGAACAGCTAGTGGACTTAGCCGGCAGACGTGTGCTCATTACCAATAAGGCAGACGAAACGCGTAACCAGCCACACAACTGTACCGAGATCCGCAGAAAGAAGACTGGCCACTAGTGAGCGTGTATTTACTGACTCAACCAAGGCGATCGTGCTTCCTACACCTTCATATTTATACTTCACCACAACAGTAGTAATTGTATAAACTATAAGAGAAGGTGTATGTTTGTTGGCACATGAGTTGCCATGTAGTGGTCCTATCTCCGGCAGAGAGGGGGTGGGTTCGATGCTGTTGAGACGCTGGACACATCACAGTGGATGAGTGAGCTCGGTGGCTAGGGTATTGGCACGAACACAGCTCATGAGGCAGATTGTTGACTTGAGGATTGTCCAGGAGATACGACAGTGTGACTGGGACGAGCTCAGTGGAAACTATGTTGGATACGTTGGCCGTAATCTCACTGAAGACAACTCCGTTGTGATCGGCGCGGATGAGTAGACCATTGGCGGCAGTTTCCGTAGGAGGAGCTCCGCTCTGAACTGCGTAGTTTGGATCTCTGCATACCGACCCAGTTATTCGGGCCCGATAGTGTCTGGTGCCTGTGAAACCCGGGTGAGTTATGCAAGGCTGTGTTAGCCCTGTAACAGCTAAAATCTCAATTCTGAGTTTAGTTCCTTCCCGTCGAGCGTTTGCCACTACCCTACTTCACTAGCTAAGGCTCAGCCGCCCTATTTGATCAACGTGCTAGCAACAGGGAACTCAAGAAGGTACATTCAAATAAAACCATTGGCAATGTTGGTTTATTATCCGTGATTTCAAAGCAGTACGCCGACTCCCTTACATTACCGCTGACTAACATGTTTAACAAGTGTTTCACGACCGGTGTCATCCCCGACATCTGGAGGTCAGCCAGAATAACGCCACTTCCTTAAAAGGAACCTCAAATGTATCGGTATATTGCTTATACTTCCGTTTTCTTAAAAGTCCTCGGAAAGCTACTAGTTCCAAGAATTTCCACAGCCACTCGTGCTGATGATTTTTACCAGTTTGCGTTTAGACCCCAGCGCTCCACACTTGATGCTGTCTCGTGCCTTGTGCATTCAATAGCCTCTGCGCTAGTTAAAAAGTGCAGGTCCGTAAGACTTCTTTTTCTTGACTATTCAATTGGTTTTCGGAGTCTTGATCGATCAGTTCTAGTCAACCTACTTTATTTGTACGGAGTCCACCCTGGTATTTGTAACTTGTTGCGTGACTATTTTACTGATCGTACGCAATTTACCCAGTTAAACGGGAAAAGCTGCGGAAAATGCTCCCCACTGAATGTGGTGTTTTGCAGGGCGCGATCTTCTCACCTCTTTTATTCTCATTGTATGTCGCAATTCTCCCCATATTATCAACATTCACTGTATATAGATATGCTGATGACGTTGTCTTGGGGTGCAGATTTCCTATCACTGAGACGTCTAGGCTTCAGTGTAGTGTAGACAAACTTGTGAGTTGGTCCTCAACCACGTCCCTTAAATGTAATGCTTTGAAATATACTGAACATTTGCATTTCTCCACCCTGATAAATTACGAGTAATTTTATATGCCTTTGTTCTATTAACTTTGAGATATTTGACAGTGGATGAAATAGGCATGGTTTTGTCCTCCATTGTTTATTTTTCACACTACTTCACTTGGTCCACGCAAGTTTTGGAGACATTTCACAAGGTCAGAAGGCTATCCTTTTATGCTTTCCTACTTAAGATGCACTCCGCACTACGAAGTTACATTTTAAGGTTTATAAGTATGTATGCTACCCCTCCGGTTGTACTGTTCCCAAGTAATCTTTCCTGGACTATGTTTCATTGTACCATCGATTAAACATATTTCCAGAGGTGTTGGCTCGCCTAAAGATTCCATAGTCGATTTTATTGCTCGTAAGCCTTTCGACGCTTGCATACATTTTTCTTCTAAGGTCCTAAGTGACCGCTTTCATCCGCTACATGATGCTCTCTCACAAACCTTATCTTTCTCTCACACACGTTCGAGATTTGGGATTTAATTCTCTCGTAGTTCTTCGTATCGTAACACAATCTTGCCTTCTTTGTCACGCTTTCTTCTTGACCCTATGAAGGTCACAAATGCTTTACGTATGCGGTTGCTTGAATGACTTCCAGATATCCTTGCATATTTAATTCCTCAATCGGTGTTTATGTCTTTTTAACTGGTCCCATTCATTCAGTGCATCCGCAATGATAGTGTAGATGCTGATCATAAACCCATTAAGGCGAATAAAGCCCATTTTGACTTGGTTTAAAGTGAGCGTTCCCTGACCCAAGCAGTCAGCAGCAGCAACAGCGTGCTTAGTGAGTTCATTTGAGCAAAGAAGATCAAACTCGCTTCGGAACGTTTCGTTGTATAGTGTATCTACAACGTCAGCGTTCGTTACACTGCTTCACCATGAAACCAGACCACCTTTCGTGGTAATACAGGCGACGGCTGTCATTAAATTACCTTCTATTCCTTGGAGTTCACATTCCACCACCTAACACAACACAGTTTTTCAATTTGGCAACGTTATTTTTCCTTTTTCACAGAGGGAAAGACCCCGGATTCTTGCGCTACTCAAATCCGCACAGTCTGACCCCGTAGCGTTCTTCGCATCTCCGGAATACAGCTTTCATCCATACACATTGCAAGAATGCACCTTTCCGGTGAAGTTGAATGCATGAGAAGAAAAATATCAGGCTACGCTCTCGTAGACTCCTTACCTTTTGCTGTGGAAACTCCTATGAACAGTACTTTTCAATAATGAACAGACTTTTTCCTTCTTTAGTCGAAATTCCGCATTAGTGACCGTGGACGGAGTTTTGCGCAATCCCGCTGTGAAGAGATTAAGTTACAACCTGCTTCGCTGGTGAGGAAGACGACCTTATAGTCGTTAACCGCTATGTCCACTCCTAGAAGCCATGCCTCCCATATCGGTAGCAGGCACCTCCCTAACATTCCGTGAATATTGACTGAAGTCCAAGTGAGAACCGGACAGAGAGCACGTACTGCACCGATGTGATAAAGGGTGGCGACAACATGACCTCTTTACGCACTCCTAAGCGGCCGCTCATTTGCTTTCTAAATTAGACAAAATGATCGATGTATCTCTGAGCATGTAACAGGCGTCCAAATTATACAGGGATAAGCAAACCATATCATTATATATATATATATATATATATATATATATATATATGTCAGGAAAGTCCATGATGTGCTGAGACTTGTGGTGGCTGGATCCTGACAGATGGTCTACCCAGTGCTGCTAATGTTGTGCCATTGGTTCATGTCCTGGACGCCTCATCGTGGCGACTGCTGGATAGAAGTTGGGTAACGCCCTTATTCTAGCGAAAAGCCAAGACACACCAATCTGTGTTAGTCGGTGAACTGACCATGTGCTAGACCCGCTGCTTTTCCCGGTGTACATTTAATCGAAGGCCTTAGCTGAGGACTCGAGTCGTTCTCCTATCAGGTGTGTACGCCCTGGCAGTATCCTAGTCCATCCTCCTCGGAGGTTAGGAAGTGGTCGATGGTCCTCTACCCGTAAAACCTAACCATGACAGGCAACAACAGGTTTACGGGTTATAAGCTCACAGCTCGATTGGCGTAGAGCACAAGCACCACCAATTGTCTTTGACGGTGGGAAGGCACCTCCGGGTGTTCAATGCTTTGCTACTGTCTGCCTCAAACCAGGCAGCCCCTGGTAAAATTGCTGCAACTACGTCAAAACCCTCCTGCGTTTGGCCGTGGTCGCAGGTGCATATCATACTACGGTCACAAAACATGTGAACTGTTCCAGAGCTGCATAGACTCTGTGTGACGGACCTCAAACAAATCCCAAAGAGTCTCTGCAATAACACTCCCGAGCTGGATCTGCTCTCCACTGCCTTGTGGGTCAGGCTAATGAGTCAAAAGCTTTGGGCGGAGACCCTCAAGCGAACGTGCGAAGTACAACCACCTCCACATGTGCTATTGCCTGCCAAAGCAAGCGTATGCCTACGCGCAAAACACTCAACATCGGGTGCTGGAACGTGCGTACACTGCTGGACCAGAACTCGTGTGAGCGTCCCGAGCGACGCACTGCACTAGTAGCGATGGAACTGTCGCGCTACAACATTGCTATTGCGGCGCTCAGCGAGACCAGGCTCGCCAGGCATGCGTGTACGGATTTGCCTGTCATTGTGGTCTCCCTACAGAGTCTCCTACAGAGTGACCATGGGCGGGTTGCGCTGCACCACCCACAGCTCCATCCACACGCCCCATATCCGGTGTAAACCTGAAGGAATAAGACCGGGAGGCATGAGGATGGGAGCCATGTTTCATCAACGGAACCAGCCTACATTCCTTGACAGACAAATACAAGCACGCTGTATCTGGGAATCAATCGCACATTAAGCGGTGGCTGGACCATAGTCCGGTCCACACACAAACCGTATGCAAGGAACTACTCTTCGAGCCTACAAGGCCACAAGGACCGTGCACCCCGTCCCTTCGAGCAACGACCAACTGTATCCTGGAGCCAGTATAGAAGAGCTGCTGGCTAATTGACAGGTAGGTACCTTGTCAGCGTGCACATCGAGAGCAGCCACACCGGGGGAAGTTAAGCAACAGCCAGTCATCTGATATGACGATAAGTAATAGAATAAATCGAATAAAGCAAACGTATATGCCGAAATAACTCTTCACAAAATTACCATATGAGATAAACGGATTATCAGCATATTCGCGATAAAGTTAAGATGACAGCAAATGAGATCAAGACACATGCAACAAAAGCGAAAAAATTAAAGGAATTAAGCACCTGGAGGGTTTCGGTGTGGCTCTCTCCCATCCCTGCACTCCACGACAGACGGTTTCGTCTTTGTTTAGACTCATCAGATAGAGATAGCCGAGCTGGGAGCGGAACTGGGCGCATAGTGGTTGGCGGTTATCGTCATGATCAATATGCTATTGAGCTCCGCGAGCAGTGTCTGACACAGCGGTTAGAAGTAGATTTTCGTGTTTTGGAGCACCCGCAGCTTTTGTTTAAGTAATGTGTGTAAGCAAATAGAAGACTTGCAATAAATCAGGCTATTTGTAGCTAGGGTTGACTGGTCTGGTTTTCCTATGTTCTGCGAGCTGAGCAATTGTGCTACAGACGTTTCGTCACCAGCCGAGGTGATATCCTCAATGCCTCACTGCTTAGCGTACAAGCTCGTTAAGTATGTCGACGGCTCTTGATTGATGGGCAAGTGACGTTTGAAATTGGACTCTTCGCTGCATATCATGTGACCTTCGGTGGTTTGTTGTTCGACCGCCGCTGCTTCCTGTCTTATGTTGTGATTTATGATGCGTACAATTTCTTTCCTTCTCAATGGTTGGTACACCGAGTCTATGGTCTATGCATACGGACTCGATTTTGCAGGATTGAGTCACATTGCGATGCTGAAGGAGCAAACCCAGAGGAGGAGAAACATCTGTTTACGTCCTTCATGCTCAATGGATACCCGCGCAGTTTCGTCCGAAGATATTTGAACTGCAGGGCTGAAAATATCGCGCCTGAATCAACAACAAAGAAACAGAGCGCTTTGCCTTATGTCAGGAATGCATCAGAAATGGCGGCCAGATTTCCTAAGCCGTATCATCTGATGGTTGCCCACAAACCAAACGCCACACTTAAAGGAACCTTGTCTAAACCGAAAGATAAAGTGAATGTATACGAACGCAGTAATTTTGTTTGCAGCATAAATGTAAACATTGCGAGAAGAACTAGATGGGCCAAACAAGGAAGAAACTGGTTACAAGAATACAAGTGCATAAGCGAGCTTGCCGCAACCATTACGCATCATCTCTGGTTTCGGCACATGTTGATGTGGAGGGACACTGGTTTGGTTGGGACAAAACGGAAATTTTTCGCGCGGGGAGAAACGGCAACAAGCAGGAAATTCCTCGAAGAGTGGTTTAGTACAGAACCCTGCATAGACTTCCGCATAGACGTAGATCCGGTGTACCAACTATTGAGAAATCACAACGTAAAACAGGAAGCAGCGGCGGTCGAACAACAAACCACCGAAGGTCACATGATATTCAGCGAAGAGACCAATTTCAAACGTCACTTGCCCATGGGTCAAGAGCCGACGACACACTTAAGGAGCTTGTACGCTAAGCTGTGTGGCATTGAGGATGCCACTTCGGCTGGTGACGAAACGTCTATAGAACAACTGCTGACAACAAATGAAAACCAACTAGAAGATTATTCAGATAGACAATAAAGTGAGGTAACAAAGTAACTAATCAAAAATATAGCAAACCAATCACCTGAAATGTAGGAACTCAGTACGCAAGCACGCGGTAAGTAACCCGAATGTAGCGTACCTTCCAACGCTACGCCGGTTCAGCAGCACCGTTCGTCGTTTCGATGCTCTTCCCGAGTGGCGTCGCTCGTGGCTCACTGAACCTGTCTGATTCAGACACACGCGATCACATGTGCTAGAGCGCCATGCGCTCGACGTCGATGGAGTGCACATTATCGGCGCCTGTCGCTTCCGCACCTGCCATTTCCTCTCCGCATGCATGAGGGCTTTCTCCTGCACCTCGGCAACTGCCTTCGTGATCTGCTCGCATCACGCACGCCGATCAATCGTCATCGATTCCCAAGACCTGCAATCAACATTAGGACATGATAGGTTTACTTAGATCATGTCCTCGTAACGAAGCCATGCTTTCACATAGTGAGGGCTTGCTGTTTAATGAAGCAACACTGGAGGAACTGTGACAGGGGGCTCGGCTAACTTCGTGATCACAGTCTTCAGTGCCTTCTGGCAAATGTGTTCGGCTCTTGGTGAGCTATGATCGCGGAATGAGAAAAACTTCCTTGGTACAATTTATGGGTTGAAAGTTACTTGTCTAAACCCTGGATTCGGTAATTTGCTTGACGGTGTGTGACAGGTTGATTCTGCGCGTTCGAACATTGAGGCGTATTGTAGCCACAGTATATTGGCTGCTTCGTCGGCGCTCTGTATCCGTCTGCTTGCTGCGGAAAGTGTAAGGACGCTATGCTTTGCTTTTCAAAGACTTGACATGCCTATACAGTAGTTTGTTACTTCCCAGAAATTGTTTGACTAGGCAGTGTTGGTAAGTTACTTTGTCCTCAAGGACAAGTGTGGTGCAATGGTTGCTGAGGGTCAAGAAGTTGCTCCCAAGTCTCTGAGGCAGGGTTAGTCATGAAGTCACGCCATGCTGCATCCCTTACCGCTAGACGTTTCCGAGTCCTGCTTCTGAGAATTGATAGTACTTTTGCGGTACGAAGTGGCTTTGTCTCTGATGCTTTGTTGACTATGTCACTGAGTCTTTCAACGAACTCTGTCCAAACGTCATCAATGAGAGTGTTGTTCGAGAGCTCCGAAGCACATGCCTTGATGAATTTTCTCAGGACGTGATAGTGTGTGATCGTATTAGTTAGTTCCTTGTGTACAAATGGATACATAACATAGCAAACATAGTTAAACCTTATCACTACATCGTCACTGAGACCAAATGCTCTCTCCATTAATAAATTGCCCATCAAGAGTTCTTCATTTGTGAGCACAGGGTTCAATGTAGCGGGCATTTTGCTCTCCTAAAGCAAATGGGTAAAGTGCAATGTTTGGATAGGGCAATATTAACCATAACTTCATGAAAGTGTGCTTTGAACTGTTTATTGGGAATTGGAGATATCTCCACATCGTGTATATTAAAGTCACCGTAGATGAGGATGTGGCTGCACGTATGTCGTGTTACTCTATTC